CACACCACACCACACACCGTCCAGCGTGATTAATACGACACACAGGCGCACCAAACATTTAGCGTCAGTTAGAAAGTTATGCCCGCGGCGAGCCCATCAGTAAGACTCTGTCGTCCAGATCGGCTTCGCACCGGGCGCAGCATCGTAGTTCTCATCGAAGCGGTGCAGCTTCACGAGGCCGTCAAAGGCGCCACTAGCAAACCCGCGGCCGTCGGGGAAGAACGCGACGGAGTTGATCGTACCGAAGTGGCAGCGCACCTGTCCCAGCTGCTTCTCGTGCACCTTGTGATAAAACTTCACCTCGAAGGCGGTCTGCCCGCCCTGCGTTGTGACGTCCTGCGCGTCCATACCACCGCCTAGAATGACGTGATCGCCGCACGGCGAGATCGACGCGTCATTCACCGGCACATCACTCGTGTACGTCTGGATAACCGCCATATCGCGGGAGTCTAGGAGGCGGGCCGTCTTGTCCTTGGAGGCGGTGATGAGGGTGTGGTAGTTGGGGTCGAAGCCGATGCGGTTGACGGTCTCCTCGTGCGGCTGCTGCGTGCGCACTGTGCGCATCGTCTCCACATCGAGGATCGCCACGGAGCCGTCGGCCATGGCGTAATAAATCGTGTCGTTCGTCGGCCCCCACACCGCGTAAGTGATGTCATCGCACTCCGACACGAACTCCGCGCACGGGTTGAAGGCCGTCTTGACCGGCTGCACGGCGTAGTCCTCCTTCGGCAGCGCGAAGGGGAGGTTGTACAGCTGCACCGCCGACTTCTCGCCCATCTTCTTGGACGTGCTGATCATCAGCTTGCTGTCGTCGTGGGCGAAGCCGACGGAGCGTGCCGGGTTCTTGAGCATGATGTTCGCGAGCTCCTCGCCGGTCTCGACGCACCACAGCTTCGCCTTGAAGTCCATACCGCCTGTCACGAGCAGCGTCGAGTAGTTGTTCACGTCGCACGCCGCGATGGCGCTGTGCCCGGTGTACACGCCGAGGCGCTCGCCGGTCTTGGTGTACCACACGCTGATGTTCGGCTCCTTCGCGACGGAGAAGAGCAAGTCACCCTCGCGGTTGAACTTGATCATCGTCACGGGCTTCATGTGCCCGTGCAGCGCTAGACCTTGAATGTTCATTGGGCTTTTCTGACGGAGCTGCTGGTTTCTTTTCTTTTTTTTTTTCTTGGTTCTTTCTTTCTTTCCTTGTTTCCTTGGTTTCTTCTTGTCTGGGTGTTCTGCCTTCGTTGAATCCCTTTACTTCCTTCTCTCTTTCTTTCTGTCTTTCTTTCCTTCGCGCGTGTGTGTTTTCCTTGTTCCGCTGTCTTCTCCCCTCTTCCGAGTCTGGCTAGTGTCCTACGCCCCGCGTCTGCGGGCACCAACAGGGACGCAAGAACAAACACAAAGAAAGAAGAACAACGAGGGAGGCAGACACACAGTGTGTGTGTGTGTGTGTGTGAGAGAGAGAGAAGGGGGGCACACCACGCACCCCTGCCGCCCCCGAGGGCACCAGACAACAAACCACGGAGCGAGGACAGCACCACGACGACCCCCTCGCCACGCACGGACGCGCGCCTCACCAGCCGAGGCTCCTCAGACGGTCACTCACCTCGCGCAGATAATCCCGCGCGGGCTGCCGCACGCCCTTCTCTGCGCCACCCACACCCCCACCCGCAGAAGCAGGCTTCTCCATCTGCTCGTGGATGTGCTTCATACCCGTGTGGATCAGTTGTGCGAGTTGGCCCGACATGACCTCCTCAGGGCTCTCCTCTTGCTGACGCCGCTGCTGCTCTGTGGCGAGTCCCTCGCGCAGCTCATCCCGCAGCTGCTCCCGCTCCCTTCGCTGCTCCTCGAGAGTCTCGCGGATTCGCTGCGCCAGCTCATCTTTGACGGCATTCAAGCGCTCGCAAGTTGCCTGGTAGTTGCGCTCTATCATCTCCGCCGTCGCATTCTCGTGGGACTCCACCCGCACAACGAGCGCCTCCAGAAAGCGCTGCTCCTTCTCTTTCCACTCCGCCAACTCCCACTCACCGGCGCGCAGCGGCTCCGTCATCATTTTCTCAAAGGCAGCACCGTCGCCCTCACCCTCCTTGTCCTCGTGGTTGTCGACACTGAACAGCCCCAGAGACGGCGATCGCGCACCACTCTCCGGTGGTGGCGGTGGTGGTGGCGATGGCGACGTCGTCCCTGCCACATGGCTCTCCTTGATCCCCGTGAGCGGCGCCATCGGCAGCGGCCCCTGATGCTGTGAGGGGAACGGCAACGGCACGTACAGCGGCACTCCGCACCACTGCTGCTCGCCACCCTGAGAAAAGAGGAGCGGTGGGAAGAATGGCGTGCCGCCCTGATGTAGTTGCTGCTGCTGTGGCTGCTGTTGGTGGTGGTGGTGATGTTGGTAGTAGTAGTGTTGCGGCTGGTTGTAGTGGATTTGGTGGTGAGAGGGCTCTGGTTGCTGCGACTGCCGTTTTGACGGCTGTTTTTGTCGGACGTGAAAGGGAGGAAGACAGGGCGAGGAGCGGAACTCCTGACGGCGACTGCTGCTATACTGATCCACCGTTTCAGGTGACAGGCACGACGTGCTGCGAGGCGCCTGCAGACTGTCCTGCAACGACGACCCCTCCACCTCGAGCTGCCCCACCTGCAAGGTCGTCTCGCCTCTCTCCACGCCCACATTCGACACGAAAGTGAGACTCGCTGAGGGCGGCCTTGGACCAGCACTGTCCTCAGCAGGGGCTGCGGTTGAACCAACCCCCACCGGCACATCCCCGCCAGTGGCCGCCGTTGCTTTCGCTGCTGCCGTGGTGGTGGGGGCTCCTCTTGCTGCTGATGTAGATGATACGGCCGACTCCTTGGGCCGGTCGAGCGACAGAATCCGCCCCCTCACTCGCGGTGCGGTGGGGGCGCTCCCGGGCCGCAACCCCGCAACGCGGGTGAGCACAAGCTGCTGCTCGTAATCCTGGAGGCACGTGAACTCCTCGCCGACAGTGTAGTTCACTGGTGTATCTATCAGGTTCTTCGATAGGTCGAGTGACTCAATGGCGCTACTCTGAAGCGCCCCCTCCTGCATGAACGCCGTCAACCCCGTCATTGTCACAGTGTTGCGGCTCAAGTCTACAACCCGCAGGGACGCATCGTGTGCGATGGCGAGTGCCAGTCGCTTCAGCGTCGCGTCACCGAGGCGGTTGCCCGATAAGTCAAGTACCTCTAACGCCCTTGACGGGGCAGCAGTAGCAGCAGCAGCAGCAGCAGCCGAGCCAGCACCCCGCAGCGACGTGCGCCAGGCCGTACTCTGCTCCCTGCTGCGGCTGAGGAGGATGAGCGAATGAATGCCGCGGGCGCTCGCATCTGAGAGGCCGCACTCCGAGAAGTACGCCTCCTTAAGCGCAGGAAAGGAGCCCGGCGCCGTCGTGAGCCGCGTGAAGAGTGCATCCGTCAACCGCGACCGGCTTAACTTCAATACACGCAGCACGTCACAGTGCGGCAGTGCGTCGAATAGACGGCCGGCGACCTCCGGCGTCCGGTGCAGCGGCAGCCCGCAGAGCTCTACACGAACTAAATGCCGCACGTTCGCCGCGCACGCCGCGCGCACGCCGTCAACGAGGCTCCGCACTACAGCGCGATTCTGCAGTGCGACGATCGCCTCCGCCGGGCGGCGCCGCGCCA